GAAAGGCCAGAGACTTCCCCTCGAGTCTCCCAAGTCTCCTTCCTCCCCTCCAAAATCCAGCAGTGAGAAATCAAAACACCTCCTCCTTGGAGCAGCTCCTCACCCAGCCTTGCTCCAACCTGGCTTCTATCCCAGAGGACTCCCCAGGCATCCAGGACCCCATCCCTGGTGTTAGAGCTGCTCAGAGCCCCCATCACTCAGTGTCACCTCCAGCATCCCACCCTGAAACACCCTAGGGTGGGTGACCCTGGTGGGGCCATCTCACATCTCCTTTGCTTTGACATTGATTTGCACAGTGGAGAAAGTGGGGCTGGGAAAACGGTGGCAGCAAAATACATCATGGGCTACATCTCCAAAGTGTCTGGGGGTGGTGAGAAAGTGCAGGTATGGTCAACTCTCCCCTCTCCCCCCTCCAACACCATCCCTGCCCTCCCAACCCACATGGAGCAGGACCCAGGGCTGGGGACAGACCTGGGTGTCTCCAGGGACACTGCGTGGAGACACCCAGCTCTGTCCCCAGCCCCGAGGCAGGGCTGCTGCAGTGGGGTGCAGGTCTATGGAACCTTCTGGCTCAGCCCTCTTCCTCCTCTGCCCCCAGCACGTGAAGGACATCATCCTGCAGTCCAACCCACTGCTGGAAGCCTTTGGAAATGCCAAAACTGTCCGGAACAACAACTCCAGCCGCTTCGTAAGTCTCCAGGGCGGGTGCAGAGGGTCAGCACTGGGGGCAGGATCAGTCCCGGGCTGGGTGGGGGGTTCAGGGCCGTGGTTCTGAGCAGGAGCTGTGCTGGAGCAGGGGAAATACTTTGAGATCCAGTTCAGCCGGGGAGGTGAACCCGACGGGGGCAAGATCTCCAACTTCCTGCTGGAGAAGTCGCGGGTGGTGAACCAGAACGAGTGCGAGAGGAACTTCCACATCTACTATCAGGTACCTGGGGGCTCAGGGGAGCCAGCCAGTTGGCCAGGAGGGTCAGGAACCACAGCTCCCATTTCTGTCCCAGCTGATCGAAGGGGCATCCCAAGAGCAGAGGCAGAACCTGGGCATCATGAGCCCTGATTATTACTATTACCTGAACCAGTCGGACACGTACCGGGTGGAGGGCACGGACGATCGCAGCGACTTCCACGAGACCATGGTCAGTGTCCAGGAGGGAGAACCCAACAATGCCAGCCAGGCTGGGTCTGATGGGCTCCCCCATGTCCCCAGAATGCCATGCAGGTGATTGGCATCCGGGGTGAGGACCAGCAGCTGGTGCTGCAGATCGTGGCCGGGATCCTCCACCTGGGAAACATCAGCTTTCGGGAGGAAGGCAACTATGCTCAGGTGGAAAATGCTGACTGTGAGTAGCCAACCCCACCCTGCTCCAGGGCAAAAAAGTGGGGAAGCTCCCAGAAAGCCTTGGCAATCAATTGCAAACTCTCTCTAGCACAAATCTTCCCCACGTTAGACATGGGGAAATTGAGGCAGAACCACAGAAATGTCCTGGTTGGAAAAGACCTTTAAGACCTTTAGGTTAATGGTTGGACTTGGTGATCTTGAAGATCTTTTCCAACTAAGGTGATTTTGTGATCATTGAAATGGCACAACCAGAGCTTAATTAGCAAGGGGATGGATGCCAGGAGGGGCTTGCTGTGACTTAGCACAGAATCACAGAATGGTGGGGGTTGGAAGGGACCTCTGGAGATCACAGAGTCCAACTCTGCTAGAACACCTGGGGCAGATCACTCAGAAAGGCATCCAAACAGGTCTGGAAAGTCTCCAGAGAAGGAGACTCCACAGCCTCTCTGGGCAGCCTGTCCCAGGGCTCTGTCACCCTCACAGCAAAGAAGTTCTTCCTCATGTTGAGGTGGAATTTGTTGTGTTCCACTTTGCATCCATTGCCCCTTGTCCTCTCACAAGGCATCACTGAAAAGAGATTGACCCCCTCCTCTTGACACCCACCCTTCAGATATTCATAACCATCAATGAGATCCCCTCTCAGTCTTCTCTTCTCCAGACTGAGCAGCCCCAGCTCTCTCAGCCTCATCAGATGTTCCTTCACCATCCCTGTAGCCTCCGTGTGACTCTCTCTGGTCCATCCCTGTCCCTCCTGAACTGGGGAGCCCAGAACTGGACACAAACTTCAGATGTGGCCTCACCAGGGCAGAGGGGGAGGAAAACCTCCCTAACCTACTGGACACATTCTTCTTAGTGCTCCCCAAGAGGCCATTGGCCTTCTTAGCAGAGAGAAAACCACATCCCACATCCATGGTCACTGCACAGACCATCAGACAGGGCTGGGGGTCCAGCTGCAGGCAGCGTGTGGGGGTCCTGTGGGGAGCAGTAAGCCCTGACCTGCTCTGCTCTGCCCAGCCTTGGCCTTCCCTGCCTACCTGCTGGGGATCTCCCAGGATGGCCTCAACGAGAAGGTGACCAGCAGGAAAATGGACAGCAAGTGGGGCGGCCGCTCCGAGTCCATCACCGTCACCCTCAACGTGGAGCAGGCAGCCTACACCCGGGATGCCCTGGCCAAGGGGCTCTACTCGAGGGTCTTTGACTTCCTGGTGGAGGTTTGTGGTCCTGGTGTGGGCTGGGCCAAGCCTGGGCAAGGTTGTGGAGGGGATTCAACCCGCTGAAGGGGGCTTGTCCCATCTCTCCCTGCAGTCCATCAACCGGGCCATGCAGAAGCCACACCAGGAGTACAGCATCGGGGTGCTGGACATCTATGGCTTTGAAATCTTCCAGGTGTGTGTTGCAAGGGGAGCAGCTGGAGCTGGTTGGGGCTGTTAGCAGCCCCAGGAAGGCTCCCTCGGAGCAGCTCCCAAAAGCTCTGCTGTTTGGGGTCAACCCCCAACGTGGGGAGAGGAGCAGGAGCCAACTCGGCCCCATCATCTCTTTTATCTTTGGCAGAAAAATGGCTTTGAGCAGTTCTGCATTAACTTTGTGAACGAGAAGCTGCAGCAGATCTTCATAGAGCTGACCCTGAAGGCAGAGCAGGTATAGGGGGGGGCTGGGCTGGGGGAGCTGCACAAGCACCCTGATCCCTGCACCCCATCACCAGCTGGTCCCAGCACCACAGCTGGAGCTGGGGGGGCTACAGCATTTCCCATGGATTGGGGGGCCCATTTCTTCCTCCAGGAGGAATACGTGCAGGAGGGCATCAAGTGGACCCAGATCCAGTACTTCAACAACAAGGTGGTGTGTGACCTGATAGAGAACAAGCTGGTGAGTGGGGTCCCCTCCTCCAGGGGTACTGGGTGGGCTGGGTACTGTCAGAGATGGGTGACAGGAGCAGGTTCTGCCATGAGCATCCTTGGGAGAGCAGCAGCTCAGTGTCCTTCATCCAAGCTGTGGTTCAGGATGAAGCAGCTTTAAGCAGCTGAGGGTCCTTGAGCAGAGGCAGGTGCAGGGTTGGGCCCTGCCTTTGGACACCCCTGGCTTCACTCCCCACCTCCCAGAACCCCCCTGGGATCATGAGTGTCCTGGATGATGTCTGTGCCACCATGCACGCCACGGGGGAGGGGGCAGACCAGACCCTGCTGCAGAAGCTGCAGGCGGCCGTGGGCACCCACGAGCACTTCAACAGCTGGAGCTCAGGCTTTGTCATCCACCACTACGCGGGCAAGGTACAGCACAGCACCCTGGCCCTGCACCCCTCACCCTGCACCCCTGACCCTGCACCCCACACTGAGCACCCTGCACCCCCAGGACCCTGCACCCCCAGGACCCTGCACTCTTCACCCTGCACCCCACACACTGCACCCCTCACCCTGCACCCCAAACTGAGCACCCTGCACCCCCAGGACCCTACACTGAGCACCCTGCACCCCCCTCCTCCAGCTTCCTCTGTGGCAAATGCTCTTCCACTCTTCTCACCGACCCCAGACCCACACAGAGGATGGCTGGTTTTCTTCCCCCCCCCAGGCCCCTGCCCCCCTCACCCTGCACCCCACAGCCTGCACCACCACCCTGCACCTGTACCCCACGCCCTCCCTGCACCCCTCCCCCTGCACCTGCACCCCCAGGATCCCCCACCCGCCCTGCACCCTGGGCTGGGGGCTCAGCCCCTCCTGTCCCCCCAGGTCTCCTACGACGTGAGCGGCTTCTGCGAGCGCAACCGGGACGTGCTCTTCACCGACCTGATCGAGCTGATGCAGAGCAGTGAATAGTGAGTCCTGGCAGCTCTGCCCTCCTGGGGGCACCCCAACAAGGGTGGGGGCACCCCAACAGGGCTGGGGGCACCTCAGCAAAGCGGGGTACGCTCCTCAGCACCCAGAGCAGAAAGCTTTGCTGGTTGGATCTCTGCTCGATCCATGGCTCGGGGTGCTCAGAGCACCCACGGGCACTGCAGCTTCCCCCCCTGTTGAGCACAGGGGTGCAGGGCTGGGTGAGGGGGGCTCACCCAGCACCCATTCCGGGGGCAGGCAGGGCCACGGGCTGAAGGGGGGGGTCAGGATTTCCCAGCAGAGGTGGAGCTGGGTGGGTGCTGAGCTCGGGGAGCCTGGCAGCTCTGACCTGGGGACTGTCCCTGCCTTCCAGCGCTTTCATCCGGATGCTTTTCCCAGAAAAACTTGATGCTGACAAAAAGGGACGTCCCACCACCGCGGGCTCCAAAATCAAGGTAGGTCCTGGAGGCTGCGGGACAGGAGCTGCCTCTGGGCCAGGGGCAGGGTGATGGGCTCCCACCAAACCCTTGCATGCTATAGAGCTCGATCCTTGCCCCAGAAACAGGCCAACGACCTGGTGAACACCCTCATGAAGTGCACCCCACACTACATCCGCTGCATCAAGCCCAACGAGACCAAGAAACCCCGGGACTGGGAGGAGAGCAGGTAGCAGAACCACCTCGTGATGTGTCCAGGACCCCACAGAGCCTGGGGAAGGGGACCTGGTGATGGGGGATGTGGCCAGAACAGCCCTTCCTCCAAAACCTTGGCAGCTGGGGACACACACCTCCTTCCACCTGCATCACCCCAAGGTGACACATCCAAGCCTCAAGAAGCTCCCAGGTGTCCACCACGGGCATCCCAGTGCAAAAAACAATGGCCAAGGGTTCCAAACCTGTCCCCTGCCACCCTCCTGTCCCACACCCAAGTGTGCCCATCCCAACCCTGCAGGGTGAAGCACCAAGTCGAGTACCTGGGGCTGAAGGAGAACATCCGCGTGCGCCGCGCCGGGTTCGCCTACCGCCGCCTCTTCCACAAGTTCCTGCAGCGGTGAGAGGGGTGGCTGGGAAGGGGGATGGCGGGTTCCCCCGTGGCCTGGCTGTGACCCACGTCCCCTTTTTCCCCGCAGCTATGCCATCCTCACCCCCGAGACGTGGCCGTGCTGGCGGGGGGACGAGCGGCAAGGGGTGCAGCACTTGCTGCGCTCCGTCAACATGGACCCGGACCAGTACCAGATGGGGAGGAGCAAAGTGTTCGTCAAGAACCCCGAGTCGGTGGGTCTGGGCTCTGCCCCCCGAAGCCCCCGGGGATGCTGAGCATGGCTTTGGGGGGTGCCGGGCAGTGGTTTGGGGTGCAGCTGATGGGATGGAGCTGGGGGATGCCCGGCTCAGCAGCCTTCGTCCCTCCCAGCTCTTCCTCCTCGAAGAGATGCGGGAGCGGAAATTCGACGGCTTCGCCCGGGTGATCCAGAAGGCCTGGAGGCAGCACGTGGCCACCCGCAAGTACGAGCAGATGAGAGAGGAGGGTGAGTAGCTGATGAAGGGAGGGGAACATCTCCCTGATGAGGAAAGGCTGAGGGAGCTGGGTCTCTTGAGCTTGGAGAAAAGGAGACTGAGGGGCGACCTCATCAATGGTCACAAATCTGTTCAGGGCAGTGTCAGGAGGACAGAGCCAGGCTTTGTGCAGTGATGTCCAGTGACAGGACAAGGGGCAGTGGGTGCAAACTGGAGCACAGGAGGTTCCATGTGAATATCAGGAAGAACTTCTTTCCTGTGAGGGTGACAGAGCCCTGGGCCAGGCTGCCCAGAGAGGCTGGGGAGTCTCCTTCTCTGAGACATTCAAACCCACCTGGACACGTTCCTGTGTGATGTGCTCTGGGTGCCCCTGCTCTGGCAGGGGGGTTGGGCTGGGTGAGCTTTCCAGGTCCCTTCCAAACCCTAGGATTCTGTGATTCTGAGTACAGGGCAGGGATTGTCCCCCTGTGCTGGGCACTGGTGGGGCCACACCTGGAACCTTGGGGTCAGTTATGAGCCCCTCATTGCCAGAAGGACATGGAGGGGCTGGAGAGTGTACAGGGAAGGGCAGTGGTGCTGGGGAAGGGGCTGGGGAAGGGGCTGGAGCACAAGTGTGAGCAGGAGCAGCTGAGGGAGCTGAGGGTTCAGCCTGGAGACAAGGAGCTGAGGGGAGACCTGCTGGCTCTGCAGCTGCTGAGAGGAGGTTGGAGCCGGGGGGGTCGGGCTCTGCTCCCCAGGAACAAGGGATGGGACCAGAGGAAATGGCCTCAGGTTGTGCCAGGGGAGGTTGGGATTGGATATTAGGAGAAACTTCTTCCCTGGAAGGGTCTCAAGCCCTGGCCCAGGCTGCCCAGGGAGGGATGGAATCCCCAGCCCTGGAGGTGTTTCCAAGCCCTGTAGATGTGGTGCTGAGGGACACGGGTCAGCACTGACTGGGGAGAGCTGGGTTAGTGGTTGGACGGATGGACTGGATGATCTCAAAGGCCTTTTCCAACCAGAACAACTCTGTGATTCTGTGATTAAGGTTGGTTGAAGACAGGGGCACTGACACCCTGGCAGCCCTTTTTGGGTGCCCTTTGCTGGGGACAGCTCAGCTGCCAGAGGAGCAGGAGAGCACACACCCAGCCCCTAATAGTGGCACTAGCAAGGACAGGGGTGAGGAGGGACTGGACCATGAGATGCCCAGAATCTGTTCGTACACCTTACAGGAGGGAGCAGATTCCTTGCTCTACATCCAGCCCCGGGAAGGGCTGTAGGACAGAAACCAGCTCCTCACTCTGCATTTTGTTACCTTCAAAGGGACAGAGAGGAGCAGCTGGGAGTCAGCATTTGCAAGGGGGTGGGAAAGGCCAGTGACCACCCCCTGACCACATCATGGGTGTTTCCCACCCTCCCAAGCATGCAGTGAGAAATCAAGGGGGGGAAAACCCAGAGAGCAGCTGGATCCCTCCCTCCCACAGCACAAGTTTTTCTGAGGGCACTTCCTGGGGTTTTGAAGCCAGCTGAGCTCCAGCAGCCCAGATTCCTCCCAGGGCACAAAACAAACCCCACTTCTGGCTGCCACACTCCCTGTCACTGCTCCCACTGCTCCCACTGCTCCCACTGCTCCCACTGCTCCCACTGCTCCCACTGCTCCCACTGCTCCCACAGCCGGTTTGGGAGGGCAGGGAACGGGTGGGCAGGGGCTGAGGGCTCAGCCCTGCCTGGTGGCATCACTTGGAGGGTTCCTTGCAGCCTCCAACATCCTCTACAACTTCAAAGAGCGGCGGAGGAACAGCATCAACAGGAATTTCGTGGGCGATTACCTGGGCATGGAGGAGCGGCCGGAGCTGCGCCAGTTCCTGGCCAAGAGGGAAAGGGTCGACTTTGCTGACTCCATCACCAAGTATGACCGGAGGTTCAAGGTACATG